TAAGCCTCAAACACAGAATTTTAGATATAATCTTGTAACTCACATTACACAGACTAATTGGCCTAAATTCTGTCATCCGTTGTGCCTTTCCGTCTTTGGAATTAAACAAATATTTATTTCATTTATCCTTTTATCGAAGCTTCGTGTTCGAAAAAATTCTCGAACCAATACAACCAGATCATCCTTTAAAGAATGCCAAAACCGTTGATAAAATAAAGCTGTCATTCCATCTGGACCAGGTGTTTTTTCCGGATGCATGGAAAATAAAGCTTTCCTAACTTCCGCTTCTGTAATATCTTTGGTTAATTCTTTATTCATGTTCTCTCGGCTATACCATTTGTATTAGATACATTAAAAAACTCCTTAAAATAATTTGTCGATATATCCTCCATTCCTACCTCTGATTCCTCCCAAGTGTCATTTGGTCCATATAGACCTGAAATCTTATTTCTATAACTCTAAACCAATAGTATTCAATTATTTTTCTAAAGTTTACAATTCATCATAATAACTAATAAATATTGCATAGAAAACTTAAGAATTCTATCTTTTTGAAACAATTTTTTTTTTCCAAGAAAATACTACATTATTTAGAAACAGAGTGAGTATTGAACAGTGGCTCTGACATTTTTAGCTACTAACATTAACAGAATAATTTTTTATAAAATTAAGAAAATAAAATCATGTTAACATCAATAAATTTATGTTAAAATAAGAAAATCCAGCTACATTTTTGTCAAAGTAGAATTTTCTAGAATTTTGGAAGTGTTAAATTACCAAATTAAAAACTAAATGCCACATTGTCTGTCCACAAACTCAAAAAAAGAAATAAAGAAGCAAAAAAAAAATCTATCAACTAATTTCCTCCATAACTGTGTGGTCTTCTTCTCTAATTTGTGTTAGCATATATATACATGAGTTTTACTGTTCTCATTCTTTAGTTATTCACTACTTAGAACTCATCAGTATGACTCATTTTGTGATGCATTTGAGGAGTATTCTCTAATGCGACGAAATTATATTTATCATTAGTGGTACATGTCGAGTATTTGGAATTGGGGTTTTATGTATGGTTAGTATTTTAGCTTTTAAACTTTTTTTTTACATATTCATAATTAGTTGAAGGAAATTCCGCCACAACAAAAAAAAAAAAAACTTTCACAATGACAATTTTTTAAAGGTTAGCCTCAACTTACAAAAAAATGTACATTAAACTCACAAAATCAAATTTGACGGCTTGAATTTTATTTCTACTAAATTCTCTTTCTAATTTCTTTTTATATTCAAGTGATACAAAAAATTTATTAAAAATATCTGGTTTTATTTTTGGGTCTTGTATTTTAAGACAACCTCGGGTTTTTGAGTTGGGTATAATATTAGAGCTTACAAACAAATGATAAACTAAAAGTGAAATCCAAATCCAAATATAAACCCGACTATCCCATGAGTACGAAATGTGATTTTTTTTCAAAGTCCCATTAATCTATACCAAATTGATGAACAAAAGGTAAGCTCTAAAACTTTTCTCTAAATTTTAAGAAATCTCAAATACAAAAAGAGGCTAAAGTTCTATCATCACAATACAAAGTGTTCTAGTTCGGGATAGGTATGTGCATTTCAGATTGGATCATCAAATTACATGTACGGCTGTACCCGATATGAATTATCCAAATTTAATAAGGTAAGAAAATTATATGTTTGGGTTAATATAATTTCATAAATAAAGGTAAGATAATTATATGTTTGGTGGTGTAAGTGATTGTTGTCTAGTGTACCTAGTTGGTAACTAAAACTTTTTTAAAACTTATATTTATAATTATCTATAAATTTTTAAAATTATAAAATTTCTTAAATTATCCAAAATTATTCCTAATCGACCAAACTGTTTAAACTTGAATCTAACATTTACTTGCTCGAATAGGGACTTTAAATACTCGAGTTATATAACCATAGTTAAACCAACTTTCACAATAATACATTAACCCAACTTTTATAATAAGACGTGTCCCAATATTTTTTTACGAGAAATGAAAAAGCCTTGGTAGGGGACTACAATGAATTTTATACTCTCTCTGTTCCTAAAAGTTTGATATTCTAGTGTTTAGGATTTGTTTCACAAAGATTGATTTTCTATATTTTTAGTTAATTGATATTAATAAATCATAGATTTCAAGACGTAATGATTAACTGTTTTAGATTACTATTAGTTCATAGTTTACTTAAAAATATTTAATAAAAATAAATAATTAAACAATGATTGTTTCTGAAAATATGTAAAATCTGTAGAAAATCAATCTTCTAGGAACATGAAACTATTAGTTAGATTTTTGTTTAGTAGTTTCCGTAAGTAGTGGTATATTTTCGAAAACCTTGGTAACTTTGAGGATCTTTTTACAATTCTCAATTAATTTAAAGTGTAAAACAAATTTTAAAAACCAGCTAAAAAGCTCATATCACCATGCTTTATAATAAAGTCATAATGAAGTCCCCATAATCTTTTGCCTTTCCCAACACACACTCCTGTCTCTCTTTATCTCTCTCTCTCTCTCTCTCTCTCTTTCCCTTCAAAGATCTCACAACTTCTTTTGTGTTCTGTAATGGCAACAGAAGAAATGAAACCAGAAACTAAAAAAACAGAAGAAATGAAACCAGAAACTAAAAAAACAGAACAAAAGCAAAAACAATCCTCACAAATCAAAGAAGACCTTCCTCCTGTGACCATACCACCTCTTCCACTTCCTTACAAGGTTTGTTTTTAGTTACCCTTCTTGCACATAACTATAACATTATTCCCACAAGTTTTAAATTTATTTTATTTTTTCTTATACTCTTTTTAGTCAAAGTTTTGAATTGTTTTTTATTTTTGTACTCATAGTCATGCAGCTTGAAAGTTTCTATTCACTGTGAAGGCTGCAAAAAGAAAGTGAAAAAAATACTTACCAGTATTGAAGGTACATCTACATAAATCTTTTCACTCTAATTTTTGGTTATAAGGAAAAATATTTTTTTGCCATAATTTATTTTTATTCGTTTTGTTTTGTGGTTATAGGTGTTTATAAAGTGGACATTGATGTGAAGCAACATAAGGTAACGGTAATAGGAATCGTTTCACCGGAGATTCTTTTAAAGAAGCTTCACAAGGCTGGTAAAAACGCCGAATTGTTACCGGAGATACCCGACCCGGTTGAGAACAAACAGAAAACCGTCGACCCGAAAGAGAAGAACAAGAAAAAGAAGAATGAAGAAAATGTGCAACGAACCGAAGAAGCTACTTCTGCCGGTACGGATAAACCGGAAAAAACCGAAGTCGGCAAGAGTGATAAACCGGAATCTGAAAAAACCGACGCCGGAGAGTGTTGTTCCGGTGACGGCTGTGAAGTTGCTCCAGTGAAAGAGAAAAAGGATGTTCTTAAGGAGAAAGATTCTGTCAAGGAAGAATCTCCGTCACCACCGGCGGATTCAGCGGCTCCGGTGGCGGAGAAGAAAGCTGAAGAAACCGGTGGAGGTGGTAATGGCAAAGTTGGTAAAAAAAAGAAAAAGAAGGGGCAAAATTTGAACACTACTAACAATCCTACCGATGGACCTGCCCGTACTCAATCACTCCCTCTTCCCACTACAACAGATTACGACCGTCCATTTAATCAGATCAATGACCACCATATAATAACCAATAACAATCCGCCACGTCACGATATGTATCCTTATCCTGCAGCAGGCTATTATGCGCCGCAAGTCATGTACGGCGTAAGTTATAACGTTGCTCAACCTCCGGTGAGTGTAGACGCTGCGTCGTATTATACACCTCCACCACCGTATTCGTACGCGTACATGCACAATGGTTATCAACCGTCCGATCAAAACCCTTATCAACCTCGACCGTCGGATTCATTTGAGTTATTCAGCGATGAGAATCCAAACGGTTGTTCGGTAATTTGATGTCAAATTACCAAAAGGACCTTGAACTCTGCTTATACGCCTTGTATGACTAAAGGATGGTTTCGTAATTTGAAGTTTTACACGTGCAAGTTAGCTTAATGGTCTTTTTAGTTAGGTTTATGAATGTTGTATTATGATTATGATTATGTTAAGATAAAGATTAAGCTTTTTTTTTATTTCGTTGGCAGCTTTTGTTTTAATTTAATGATTTGGAGATCCTTTTAATAACCTTTTGCTCAATTTTTTTTTTTTTTTAACATCGCTCTATTTTTAAATTATTTATATGCTTTATTTGTTTCTTGATTCTTTTTTTTTTTTTTTTGTTATTGACTAGATCTTTTACTTTTTAAAGCTCTCTAAAAATAAAATATTAGTTTGTGGTTAAGCTATTAATGTTGAAGTAGAAAAGATGACAAGAAAGCAAGAAATGTGGACGATGAATTGATGCAATGCTTAGTTGTAAGGGGAAAGTGTGATGTGTAAAGTGAAGAAGCTGATTGGGCATTTTGATTTGGCTGTTTTCTTTTCTTTTCTTTTCTATCAACTAATTTCCTCAATCTATCTTCCCTTTACACACATCACACTTGATAGATTTTTTTTTTTACTTATGGTCCACACGTAAGATTAAAGGTTAAAATATGGCGATCACAGAAGCCACAAGTCCTGATCTCAGCTTAGCCAGTCTCGCTCTTGAAGATGCCAAACCCAAATTGTTGTTTTCCGAAGAAACAACCACCACGGATCCTTCCCGCTTCTCCTAGGCTCAAACATTAAAGACCCCTCCTCTCTATCTTTGACTTATCTATCTCTACGTTTTCTTTATATATCTTATTATGAAATGTGAGAAATTGGGAGCTATATAGCTCCTTACTCCTCATTTAATAGGAGTTTGAGAATTTGGTTACTAAATTAGGGGATATCTAAACTTTGTTTTCTTTTCTTGGAAAATCAGATTTTCTAAATCTTATCATCTATAATTTGGTCATTCATATCCAAGCCATCTAGACCCGATACTGCTTAAATTTCTTTACTCGAATCCACCAATATGACTCAATGTAATGTTCTTTAGGGTATCAATTTCAAACTCTACGTTGAGTTTTATTTATTTACTAGTGAGCTTCATATCTTCGTCACAACAAAGTTGTTCAAAATCCAAAACGTTAACCCACACTCAAAATATGTTAAGCAGAAGAGTTCATTTTTCAGAGAATCCGTTTTTGAAACATGAAAGTAGAAGACTTTCCGACAGGGAAGCTAGAGTCACAGCGACATCCACTTCCTCTCTTATTTGAGTAACCAGGAAAACAAAATTTGTTAAATTCCATCTCCCGGATCAAACACAAACCCTTTTCTTCAGCGAGAGTCTCGATCTTCCACTCATTAAATGGATGAGCCGTCTTATGAGTAACATGAATCTCTCCACCAACTTCTTTAACCATCTTTTTCGCGTTCTTCATAAAACCTCTCACCACTGCTTGGTGTAACCTATGATACACATACACACATTTTCAATACACTAAAGATAACAAAAAAAATGTCTATAGAGGGTATTGATTCATTACATGATGTAGTAGCTTTGGTTCTCACAGCCAAAACCAAACCCTGAATGAGGAAAATTAAAGATGATTCTATCGTAAAGTTCTGATCGTCGTTGACCAAGCTTACGATCTTTAGCCATTGAGTGCACATTAACCCCATGGACCACGGTGCAACCTCGTGTCTTCAACTCTTCTACGTTAGCTTTCCCATTCTTATACTTAAGCTGTAGCTCCTCTGCAATATTCGTATCTCAAATGTAATCACCAAAATCATATTATATGTTAAAGAATCATTCAATCCCATTCAAGACTAGATAAAAAAATGAAAACTTAAAATCTTTACAACGGATATTGTAACATTATATACAAAAACATTTATGAGATGATTGATGATTAAAGGTTTGATTCACCTAAAGTGTCGAGAGAGGTTGCAGTGAGGTTTGTTGCGGAACCAAAGGCTCTAGCTAAAGATAGAGAAAAGGAGAAGTCTCCTTCTCCGACCAGAAGTATTTTTTGCTTATTGCTGTATTCTCTTAACTTTTTAGTTTTCATTTTATCTCAATGTGTTCTTCATTTTCACACAATGTCGTTATATATACAGATAAAAATGTATATACAATCAAATATGGACGCATTAATAGTTAAATTAAAAGATTAGTGTTAAATGCTTGGATTTAAAATCCGTCTCTTGGGACTGTGTGATTATTTATGTACACTTCGAAGAACATTAAATATTCTATATATCCATGCACCACTTTGGCGACAAGAATTTTGTTTTCAATTGGGTACCAATATACCACGCCAATTAGCAATTTAATTATGAATTTATTTGTTCTCACACATTCATTGATCCGTCTGAACTAACAACTTTTACATCTTCCTTTAATAAAATCTAGTGTTCCAATAATATTCCAAACCAATAAAATCTAGTAAAGTATACGTTAAAATTAACCTATCTTTCAAACTTTTGAGTTATATAAAATGAATTTCATTATATCAATAACAATTTTTGTAGATTTTGAAGCTCATAAATACATTAGAAAATAATTAAGATTGCAATTTGTTTATTTTAAATATTCAGAAATGAACATATACTGATAACTAGGAAACTCTTGAGCTTGTTTTGTTCCCATGGATAAACAAAATCATAAGATTAGTTTTTGTTTTTATTTTTATTTTTGATAATAAAATATTAAAGAATAACTAATAAAAATGATTTAAACAAAATGAATGGTTTCATATGAGCACTCCTAAACATGTTTATTCGATTCAACACGAAAACCACTGTTTCCTAAACATGAAAGTAGAAAATTCTCCAACAGGGAAGCTTGAGTCATAGTCACTTCCACTTCCTCTCTTGTTGGAGTAGCCCGGATATTGCAACGGTTCAAACTCCATTTTTCTGTTAAACAAACCAATTTCGGAACCCAAGTCTTTTATATTCCAACTAGCAAATGGATATGCCGTCTTATGAGTAACATGAATATCTCCAGTGAAGTCTTTAACCATCTCTTTACCACTCCTCAAAAATCCTCTCACCACTTCTTGGTGTTGCCTGTGTCCTCACTCACACGTATACACAAACATTTTGTTTAATACACCAAAACTATATAAATGTACTTACCACAAAAAAAAGATTTACATACATTATGGTGTAGATCTCACGCTCGTACCCAAAATGAAACCCTGCATGAGGAAAATTAATGATGATTCTATCATATAGATCCGATCTGACGACCCGATAATCTGTGTTCATGGAGTGCACATTAACACCGTGAACCACAGTGCATCCAAGTCTCTCCAACTCTTCTACATTATTCTTAGCATCCTTGTACTTCAGCCCTAACTCATCTACAACAAGTAACCAAGTTATAGTATTATATTCATCATATATAGAAGGGAAAATACAAACACAAACAAAAAACTTAACTATGGTCTCAACCATATAAAATGTAAGACCACGATTTCTACGATATGGCAAAACTAAATAATTGCAATAGATAATGATAAAACCAAAAATAAATTACAACAACCGAAACCAATATTTGTTAAACAAAGAACGGTTTGTGCGGAGGCGAGACACTTTTTCCTTAATTCTTTAATTGCCCGTAGTATGACGGCTTGACGCAATCAGAATCCCAGGATACAACCGCACCATCTTCTGATTTGCAACACTCAAAATCAGAAGCCTAACGAACTCTAGTAATGTGTGTACTCTCAGACTCGATAACTAGAGAAGAGAAGAAGAAGGAGATTGTGATATTTTTGATCCATATTTACATGAGATAAAAATGGAGAGATGAAGCCTTGGTTTTATAGTCCAAGCTCTCAACACCATAATGGAGCAATAAAGGTGAAAATGTTATTGTTATGAGAATGAATTCTCAACATCAATGCCATTGACTCCATCACCTTTAATTGTTGTGAATTAATTTTTGTTGTTACACAATTTATAATTTACATTAAAGGAGATAATTGTTGACTTAATCAACTTACACATTTGGGTAATTAACAATTATCATTTGGGTTATAAGCCCATTTTCCAAATCTCAAAATCTCAAACCTGGTCCGGCTCGACACGATACAACACGGCTCGGCACACATGCCTGGTTTGGATTTCTCCTTTAACTTCCGAAGTGCGACATTTGATCCTTTAGTCAAATTTCAAGCTATCCAAGCTAGCCACTTCGGACCTCCATTTCTCATTCAAACGAACTTCAACTTTGAAAGTTACCCGAAAAAGTAGTCCGGCGCAACTAATCAAAATAAGTTCCAACATAAAATGGTTTATTTATAAATCAGATCATATCGAAACGTTGATATTACAAATGATATATATGTCTACCTCGAGTATCAAGAGAAGTTGCAGTGATGTTAGTAGACGAACCAAAGGCTCTGGCTAGACAAAGAGAAAAGGAGAAGTCTCCTTCTCCGACCAGAAGTATTTGCTGTTTATTATTGTAATGACCACAGTATAAAGTTTGTGAAACATCCATCGTGTCTACATGCATTTGCTACTTTCACCATGCATATATATGGTTTATAAACGGATATGAATGCAATGATCAAAGAGTTTTTCTCTTTGTTAGTTTGGCTCTTCGAACTTTGTGAGTATTTATTTGCTTTTGACGATCGAGCATTCACTATTCTCATTCATCTGCCATACATACATCTTTACGAAGACATAGTTTCAACATTCAATGATGTAGAAAGACCAATGAAAGAAGGGAACAAAGTTCAAGAAACACGAGAAACTATGTAGATCAAAGCTTTGTTCTCCATTCCATGCATGAACTTCAAGGCTAATACCATACGGCATATCTTCTCTATGAAAATTGTATCTACATGTTTATGTTTTCTGTGTAAATTGTATCTAATGCGGTTTCTGGCAGATTTTGATTAAGATATAAGTTAAGATAAACAAATTCAAAAGAATAAGAGATTACCCATGGATATGTAATATGTAGCAGATAATACCAGGGAAACAAAAAAGAAAAGAAAAAATCTGTCTAAAGAGCTCTCTGCTTCTTCTGTACACATTTCATCAGTGAGCCCCAAAAAATGATTCAGACTTCAGTATTCACCGCATCTTTAGCCACGCTTAAAGGGAAGTTTCAAAACAATAGGAGGAAGTTTAGGGAACTCGGTAGTCACCTTCTTCGAATCCTCTATTTGTTCCACATGCTTACTTGTCGTCGTTACTTTATCCACAAGAAAGCTTGGTTCAGAATCCTTTATTTGGTCCAGGTCCAGCGGTTTATTTGTTGTCGCTTCCTTTACAAGATATCCATTGTCTGACTCGCGTGGAGTTTTGTTACTCGCATTGGCTGAATGCTTGATATTTGCAGACCGTTTGCGTTTTCTCGGTTTAGATGTAGTAGTTTTCATGCTTTTTGGTGTAAAAAAGCCCGATTCTAGAGCTTCCAGAGCACGAGTAGTCAATGGCCGCTTTCTTGTGCTTTGTCTTCTTGGAATGTCTGTGTCGGTCTGTTGGTTATGCTCTTCTTCTTGTTGTTCTAATGATGCACGTTCTTGAGTAGTTCCATGATCAGTGGATGGAGAATTCTTGTTTTTGGGAGGCAACTGAATCGGTTGCTCTTGTTTTTGGGCAGTTTCAAGATCCTTGGAAGAGCATTTTTTGTCTAAACCCAACCGATTTGATTCGTCTTGTTGTTGTTCTGATGAACTGAGTTCATGCAGACCTCCTTGGTCCTTTGAACATAACCCATTTGGTTCTTTTTGTTGTGCTGGTGAACTTAGTTCATGGACTGTTTCCGAAATGGGACAAAAGCCATTTGGTTCACTTTCTGGCTCTTCTTGAATCTCAATATTTTCAGTTTCTTCTAACTGGTCAGTCTTGAGGTTCATAGAATCAACATGTAATGCAGGTGGCTTCAACACTGAACTTTCACCAGAACGTTTTATATCTTTCCTTACACAAGTACTGAGCCGCCTACGTTTTGGCAAGGGAACCGAATGATGGTTATTAGATTCTGATATTCGGGAATACCTCTGCTTGATCTTCTTTGACCGACCTTGTTGGACATTCTCCAAAGTCTCCTCCCCTAGACCAGAATCAGTCCCCATAGGATGCTTGCCCTTCACACCTTTATTACTGCGAGATTGGTGCTGTGATGATTCACCAAATGCCTCTTTGGGTATGCATTTACGGATCTTGCACGGATTCTCATCACCCGGCAAATGTCTCCGTCTTCTTATCCCGGATGAATGCCCACCTTGCTCCACACTTGTATCCAGAATCATGAATTTCATCGGTTCATCCACCTGTTTCATCTTTCGCGGCCTTTCCCACTTACGCTTGTGTACTTCCAACGGCATTGTTTGGAATCTTTCCACAGAAGAATTGTTATCCCCTCGACAAGCCATCGATTGAGAAGCTAGATATTCTGGATTTGGAATCCTCAACTCCCGGCATTTGAACAAATTTCCTCCTGAAGCCAAACGACTAGTGTCCACAACAGTGAACTTCATATGAGTAGAAGAAGAGTTTGGAGACCTCAGGTAACAGTGTTTCTCCTGTTTTGATTGGTTGCAAGTGTTCTCTTGGATGATTCCATCAGGAGCTCTGATCTCTGCTGTCTCCTCAAGAAGCTCAGGCTCAGAAACAACCTTTTTGAGAATGTCACTGATAGAATCAAAGTAATGATCATGTTTCACAAGTTTCCGTCTTGAAAACTTCTTTACCCCAGGGACGAGGAAGACAATGTGGTCTTTAGACTTGATGTAACTTCGGTCCTTTGGCTGCTCAGAACGCCACCCCCTATGTAGCAAACGCGGCCATACAGCGTCCCAGAAGATATCATTGTAACGACCTTTTATCAGACGGGAACAACCAGTCAATTTTTCGATTATACCTTCAACTGTGAGTGAACTGTATTCCCCTAAACCAGCAGGAACCGCAGAAGAAACTGTAAACCATTGTTTTGCATTTTCGGGTTCTATTGTGAGGACTGTCAGATCTTCCTTATCTTTACCAATTGCTACAGCCTCTAAAAGATACCGGAGACCCACTAGTTCCTTAACCGCGTTGATGTATTCCTCCAGAGACTTCTTCCCTTCAGCAAATGACTTTGAGACCTATTAATGGTCAAAAACAAAAACCTGCTAAAGCATATTTTACACTTGAAGATATTTTCAGTGTAAGAATGCGAAAAAGAAAGACTCACATCCACAAGCTTCTGTTCTTTCAGTTCATCGGGAATGTTGCGAATTAAACGGGACAACAACAACTGTAGCCTCCAATCTGAATAGAGCTTCTTCCCTTGTATGCATCTCCTGCTCCGCTTCTTAAGAGAATTAGACCAAATTTTGTATTTAGCAGATTCGTAAAACTTTCCGTAGTAAAACAAAAGTATATCTCCTGTTTCTTTGCTCTCTAACAACTTCTGCACCTGAGCAAAGTTCTTCCCAAATGTATACAGCCCAAGAACAAATCCATCTACTTCCAAATCTTCCCAAGAACTGGATGATTTCCCAGGCACAACTTCAAGATTCATATGTTGCTTTGATCCCGGGTTCCCGTCACTCCCACCTCTGCGGCTTCTTTTTGTTTTAAGTGATTTGAGAGATTCGTTCATGTCGATGTTATCACTTCCAAGTCCATCTCTATCTCTACATTTGGTGTCTATCCACATTACTTCGACAGGTAGTCCCACAGCAAAGGAACAAGAGGAATCAGAGTCCAGAGGATTCAAAAGAAGCGCTGCACGTTGGGATTCAGAGATCATAGGAGGTATCTCAACCTGATATTCATCTCCAACACGAACATCAACTTTCGGATCTCCGCAGACAAATTCTTCATCACAAGAATCTTCCATAGGATTGCTTTCCTCATCCATTAATAAGAACTATCTGCATAAATAAAACTGTATGATTCAATTGACAACATTTCATTGTTATACAAAACATTCAAGAACATACTTAAGTAACAGAACAGAGAACAAAATGCTAAGAGAGTCAAAGATCATGGTACCATACAAGAGAAAGACTCATCTGAGACCAAATAAGAACACTAGACACATGATTGATTATAATTACCTCGCAAAGATAGACAACTAGAGGATCACATAGAACATATAAGCAAAGATACATTGAAGATCAAACACTTGACTAAAATCAAACCATGACTAAGCACTTAACTACTTGAGATTGAAAGCAAAGAAGAAATTGCACAAGACCCACATAGAAGTGATCCAAAGTGATAAAAATCGAATCTTTTTCAAAGCCAAAACCCAGAATCAAGAACATGCTTATGAAAGAAGACAAGGGTCACAACGAGACCTGTTCAAAGGCATCGATCCAAAGACATGTAATTTCTCAACGCTATAGATAAACCCATGTCAAGGGATAAACACGAAACAAGACGAGTCGGATAAAGTTGAAACCTTTAAGCGTGAAAACACAAATTCTATAAATAAAGATTGATACTTTCATGTAAAAGAACGATTTCTGCATCTATCTCCGATTGTTTTCGACTCGATTTGCTATGCATTAACTAACAGTAACGTTTTGATGAAACGTGTATTACCAAAAACTGGCACTGAGAGGAGAAGGAAGGAGCAAGAGAGATTTTGGTAAACCTGAAAGAAATGTTTCAGCTTTGCATTGGCAGTGAGATTTCTCCTAGTGAGGCAATGAAAGACCCAACAAGTTTCGGTTCTTTGTGGAGAAAGACAGAGAGAGATCACTTGGCCGCTCTTTCAACACTAAAGTCTTCGAGAGAGAACAAAGTAATAGAAGCACACAAAAGGAGGAAAAAAATCACTTGGAGAAAAAATAAAATAAATAAAGATATATACGTCAATGATTATATCATTTTAACTTTTTAAGATACACTAAATATTTAAAAATTTGCAAAAAAAAATTTGGGCCAAGATCTGATTTCATCTAAGGAGTGGCGATTCACAGAGCGCCATTTCCACTTGAATACATAATTTTTATTTTTCTATAATTAAAGTATTGATTGAAATATATTAGTTAAGAAATATGTTAGTCTTGAAAATTTTACTTATAGAGATACGTAATAGCTGACTATAATTATCATTAGTTTCTAATAATGGTAGCTTAAGAAGTTCTTAGATTAGTGTAATTCTAGTGATATCTAACTAGCATTATGATGTGAGCAAGAAAGATAGGATTACTCTTCGTTTTTGATCCGGTGTCTCTTTTTTATGGTATGCTTACCATCTTCTTGGGTGGTTCTTCTTTGATCCAACAAGTGATTATCATTACTCCTAATTCACTCGTGTTTTGAATCTTGTCCATGAGTAACTTCTTCTCCGGTAAATCTTCTTTGTTATCATCTTTAGTACCTGCAAAGTTATCAACACTCTTTCAAGTTTCAACACTAAGTCTTCCAGAGAGAACAAAGTAAGAAGCACGAAAGAGGAAGAACAAATCACTTGGAAAAATATAAAATAAATAAAGATATATAAATTTATCGACCTATAGTTTTCAATGATTATATCATTTTAATATACATTAAATATTTACACATTTGCAAAAACACATTTTCGGGAAAGTAATATATCATGTTTTAAAAATATATATATATATATATATATATATCATGTTTTTATCGGTTTTATAACTATGTTTTGTATTCGTATCTTGAGTCTTTTCGATAAGAATAAGATGGGTTTTCGGTGTTTTCATATTTCTTATCATATTTTCAGGTTTTTAGACGTTTGGAGTTAACGGGGAAGAGTCAATGATCGTTATGGATGCTTACGGACGTGGGAAAGAGAAGTCACAGCCCACAGGAGCAGGACCGATCGTCAAATCCTATTCTCTTCTCTAACATCTAGGGGGGTGTATAGGAATGATGATTTTAGAAGATTTTGGTTTTTTCTTAAAGTCACCTGTTATTCAACATGTGGTTTTTAAATATCTTCCCAAATCTCATGTTATTGAACTTGATATTTATGTAAAATCATTCAAAATAACCCATAATCACTTGTTATTCAATCCAAGATTTAAAAAACTCCTATCAAATCTAGTGTTATTGAAACATAACAAAGAAAAATGAAAACGTTACTGAACATTGATTTTGGGAGACTTTGGATAGCTTTTCACTTGAAAAATAACCATGAACAAATCACACCTTTAGAGGTGTTATTTGGGTGGATTTCATAAAAAAAAAATCACAAAATATTCAAATCATCATCTCGTCTTTGTTCTTCAAGGAGATGAAGAAGAGGAGGACGAATAGAATTAAACCGTCAACGAAGAAGAAGAGGAAGAGGATGATCTGAGGAGAAATCGATTCCCTCTTACGACGACGCAATCGAGAACCGGTCGAAACAGAATTCTCAATTGGGCTGAGGCCTGAGATTTTAATGGAAATTGAAGACAATTCGATTGAGTTCTGAATGGAATTAGATCGATATAGAGGAAATCTGGCTGATTACATCGACGATGCAGCCGATACGAAGCTTTGCTTCAAAACTTTGCAGAAGAAGACGGTGGTGGAAGGAGAGGCGCACCACTGGCCGCAAAATCGGCCATAGAAGCTTTGGAGTCTTTCGAGGAAAGTTCTTCGGAGGGAGAGATGGTTATGGTCTTATGGATTGTGTTGTGTGTAAAAGTGGAATGGTGATGGGAGAAACTGGTAAGATGATACTATGTGGGCAATGTTACCACGGAGAATTGTATTGTGCCATGGTTAGGAATAACGACCTCTTGTCATGTCGGTAGATTCCAGCTTCAGACTGATCTGTGAGGAAGAGAGGAATAAAAGAACTTCTACCTTGACAGATTCTGCTGCTACTGCTACTGCTTCTTCTTCTTCTTCTTTCTTCTCGTCACGATAGGAGACGCTGGTGGAAGGAGAAGTTGATGAGATTGTACGTTCCGCTTTGATTTTACGAGGATCATATTCATTCACAATTTTTCGTTCATGAATTTGTTCGCTCATCAATGGCTTCTAGATTTCTATGTAACAAAGTGATTGGGTTTATTGTTTCCGTTATTCCAGATCTCACTTAAATGTTTTGAGGAGCCTTTCTAGTTTTGTTTCGGTTCAAAGCTTTATCTTCATATCAATAAAATGTTCGGGTATCTTTGGTCGCAGTTCACAGTGATTCATGGCTGTTTTTCTAGTTGCATTTTTACTTTGGTGCACATTTTGGATTTGGTAAGACGTAGGTACAATAAAAGACACGTAGCTTAATTAATCTGTTTACGAAGACAAATGAATAATCTTTCAACACATCAAAATCTTTCCAACATTTGGAAACATATATCAAACAAGATCAGAGAAAAAAGAGTTTGATCGGTCACAACTTTGTTGATGTAAGAAAGGGGAACAAACCCAGATTTTCCTCTCGTTTTTGTTTTAAAAAATCACCCAAAATCACTGAAAGTCTTTCATAAACCCTCCCTCAAATCTCACCTAAACACCAATCATTTAAATAAAAAATCTAACAAATCAACCAAAATATCTTTAAAACTTACTAAAATCACACAAAAACCTAAAATATAGAAATTCTACCAAATCATACAAAATTATTGTTTCAATACACCCCCCCCCTAGTTTCCAAAGATTACTTGAAATACATATAAAAGAAAGTTAGAAATATAGAACACATTAAGTCAACATCATTTCAGCATCTAACAATATGATATAAATAAATTATTTATTATTTATTTATCGTCGTTTTAATGGTTACTTGGGAAAAAAATATTCGGTTTACACTTAGCATTATAATGTGTATCTAACGATTTAAGACGTCTGATGTAGGAACTCGGAGATGAAGCCTACATGATAGAATTGGCCTTTGCACACTCTTGCTAATCAGTTTGATAAGATTATGAACACGATTGATGGTAACCTCCTAAGTAACTTCTATAGAGGACTATACCCAGAGTACCACTTGATTGATACATGAAAAAACGAAGACTTCACCACCAAGACCATTCCGAAGGACGAGCCTTGATCAATAATCTAGCTGTGAGCAATGGAAACATTTTCCATGATTTCTACAAGAACCAGTGACTCTTATTCTAAGCAACTAAGCGAATTTAAGAATTTGATGAATGAAATTATGAAGAACTAACAACGATCAGTGAATGTTCTCGAAACTACAGGACCAAATTCGATCAATCCCATAAAAATATCTATCGATCCCTACCAAAATCCAAACGCTGATCAACATTTTGATTTCGACGCATGCATGCGACGATCAAGAAGAAGTAACGTTGGAGCCTAAACAGAGGATACAACAACAATTTCAACAATAACTTTAGGAATAACTCCAACCGATCTCTTATAGAAACCCAAACGTGGAAAACCCTTAAGATCAAACATATCCTCAGCAGAACAAATTGTTCCAAAACCAATTCTAGAACACTCCTTACAACAACGGGGGAGATTTCCAACAACAGCTTCATTCAATAATTACAAAGCACCCTTTCAAGCCTCAGCTAACACAAAATTGAGATGATGATGCATAAACTTCTCTCTAATCATCAAAATTATTTAAATAAATCAACATCAAGGTGGTTAGCATGTATGAAGACCTAAACAGAAGGTCTTTCTATCCATGTTAAGAAGCTGAAAATAAAAGTTGCTCAAACTACAGACTCTGTTAAACGCAAAGCATGTGTAATGCGAGGAAAACTTGAAGAGACTCCAAAAGGATATTTCAACACAATATCGATCCACAATAATCAGAGAAACTGCGCTTCATGACTCTCTACACCTTAAGGTACACAACAACAAAAACTTTCGTACCACACTTTGGAGATGACAAAAGAAAAATGATCAGTGTAGGAGAAGATCACAAAAAGTTTCACGCAAAAGAATTCGAAAGTTAGACGTTTTTTCGTATCTTGTATCATCACGAGCATTGAGTTCGTCGAATGTTTATGTGATTTTGGAGCTAATGTCAACATAATTTCAAAGAGCTGGAGTTAATGGATCGATCTACATGAAGGATCTACCGAACCCTATGGTGCACAATCGATCTCTAAAAGATATCGATCTAACTCTCAAGACCTTCCAATGTTTTTTATTGTAATTTTGTAATTTTCTAATCAGAATGATTAAAATCTTGAGTGGACAATCCAATATAGACGCATGTGCACCATCATTATATAGCCGCCCGTCCGATTAAAGCAAGTCTTTATCTAGACCTCCCAATGTTTTTTTTTGTCAATTAAAATGATCTCAATTAACCAAAATATAAAAGAAAAATGTTTTGAAAGATTAATGTAAGATCTTTGGAGTTAGGATAGCTTCATCATGCCGAGGATAAAATAGAAGAAAGATAAAACAAGTTGGAGGTGAATTAAGGACAATATCATGGAGCCACTAGAGATTTTGACATGTACAAATACCGAACGGAGTTGCATGTTGAATCATTCACGTGATTTCGATCACCAGGGACGTACGAAAATGAGATTGTTACCAACAAAACCTCTTAAGAGGTGATGATGAGTTCTGTATCCTAAATGAAACATTTTGCAGGAAGTAATTCTAGTTAGAGCAGCTCCAACGGTGACAATTTTAAGTATCTTAGCAAAATCTTAGCATTAAAAGCAATTATAATTAATAAACCAACAAATATTTGGGAAGATATGTATCTTAATTAAGACTAGATTTTAACCCGCGGTACACCGCGGGATGATTTAATTTTAAAGTTAGTAAGAAAATATTTTGTAAATTGTATCTCCTTATAACATATTTATTTATATTATAGTTTATAACTGTTATTAAGTAACGGTATACTACGAGTCCACGAGACAATTATTAATAAACGGAGGATTTAACCCGTATTAAAGCGGTATATAAATATTGATTCAAATTCGTCCGCCATATAAATTCTTTCCGAAATATAACCTGTTCCGTAATTTCTTAACTTGTCCTGTGATTTGTTTTTATTTTAAAAGTTAATGATTATTTATTATATATAAAAGTTTACAAATCATATCATCCTCTAAGACCACGGGACATTATACCACGGGACAAATTTTGGTTTTATACAATCTTTTCTAAATAAGACTGATTTAATATTTCTAATATTTGTGGTATTAAAAAAAAGGATTTAATCTGTATTGAAGCGGCGGATTAATGATATTTGAATCTTCTTATTATTGTTGATTCAAAAACCCGTCCCGCCAAACCCGTCCGGCAAAAAAACTCATTTATTTTATTAATGTTCTTATTTATGATATGATTCTGAATGATTGTCTAAATATTTTAATCGATGTAGAACGTTGAACATACATTTTCGTCAATTGGATAATATATGTCCGTTTTTAAAATTTCGAATCACAGTATATGCAGAAAAAAAATTGATTTTTTTTTTTACTTTATGTATTATATGATTATTCAAAACAGTTAAAAACAAATCAAACAAAGATGATAGGAGAATCATAATTATAAATCTTAATCAAATCTTCTAAATATCTAAATTATTAAATATGGAATATCCGGTGTATGAGTTGGGTTAAATATAACCCAACCCAACAAATTTTTTGTGAAGGAATTTTAAAAACGGGTCGGGTATCCGATATATTCGGAAGCATTTTTACCCACCCGTCACCAAAGTGTTGCAAAAATACTAGTATAGATGTTTTTGTTAAGTTAAGAAGTGCACACGTGTCGCTATGTGAGTGGAGGAAAGAAAAACAAAACCAAAAAAAAATTATTGACCCATGTTTTTCTTCCTGACGTTTTCATCTCTCTCGATCGATCTATCTTTGGCGACAAAAATGAGGAGATGCGAAATCTCTTCGATTTTGGTGGAGATTTCGGTGGATCTGTTGAACTGAGAAGAAATATGAGTCGAAATTCCGTCTATCATCAGTTGTTCTCATCATTCCACCGACGTTGGTGACCATCGGCGATACCATCGAAAGCAAATCATCGGAAGCAAATCGGAGACTTCACAAAACTGGGGAGTTTGGTTCAACTATGCTCCAATCTTTTGTCCTAGGTACGCATCTCTTTGATTTCATTTGTAGATTGTGTTGAATTAGGGTAATTTGATGTTGTTTCAAAATTAGGATTTTCTGAAAACTAATGGGTTTTTAGGTTTATGAGAAAATATTGTTAAGCTATGAAATTGAGGTTTACGTTTCCTTGAGGTTTGTTACATTCTTTGTGTAATTTGTTTAATTTTGGAAAAGAATTTGAAATCTCAGAATTTGCGTTGGTGGAGATCTGATAGACTACAGGTGCCTATTGCTTGTATGCAAAGGAAGTTGAGGACTAAATGAAGAAGAGTGAGACAGGATCAAATGAAGAAGGGGAAGCAAAGTGGCTGAAGTCGAGAGAAAGTCTTGTATTTAAGTGTTGCCCATTTTATCCACAGAAATAAACCCTTGTTGGCGTAACTTTCACTTGATGAATATAAACAACAACACCTTCCAGGGATTCCTTAGACCGTGGAGGCTGTGTTTTCTTTCCCCAATCAGTGTATTCTTGTTTGAGCCAAGAAGCAAGTGTATAGCAACATTCATTAAGACAACGAAGTTTTGCAAGAGCTTCATCTATGAAGTTTCTTTCATGTGTTGCAACCAGCTCATAGAATTTCGGAACAAGAGCTGGCCCGGGGACACATGCATTTTGCACCAAAGCATTAACTTTGAACAAGATCTCGAAAGGTAAATCAAATCCTGAAGGTGGATCAACAACCGGAACAAGCTTGTTTCCCATTGATGAATAACAATTCGCAAATCCTAATTCAAAAGTGCAGGGGTTGTGCTCTGAGTAGTTGTTGATGAATTTCTTACGGACGTATTCAAGAACATAGAGCTGATCGATCTACATGAAGGATCGACTGAAACCTAAGGTGCACAATCGATCTCTAAAAGATATCGATCTAACTCTCTAGACTTCCAATGTTTTTTTGTAATTTTATAATTTTCTAATCAGTATGATTAAAATCTTGAGTGGACAATCCTATATAGACGCATGTGAACCATCATTATATAGCCGTCCGTCCGATTAAAGCAAGTCTTCATCTAGACCTTCTAATGTTTTCTTGTCAATTAAGATGATCTTAATTAACGAAAAAATAATATAAAATGATCTTAATTAAACAAATTAAAATGATTTTAATTAACCAAAAATAAAATAAAAATGTTTTGAAAGATTAATGTAAGATCTTTGGCCTTATAAAAGTTTAGGGTAGAGAGTGAGATGGAAGCAAAAAGGATAAATATCTCAACATTTTTAGGGTAAAGTTTAGAATAATATACGTAAGCAAATATAAAAAGAGTGAATCATATGGTGGCTCAAAGAATTTCTGATGATGTCTCTCTCTTTCTTACAGTTTCATCGTGTTGAGGATAGAATAGACGCAAGATAAATCAAGTTGGAGGAGAATTAAGGACAATATCATGGAGCCACTAGAGACCTTGACATGTACAAATACCGAACGGAGTTGCATGTTGAATCATTCATGTGATTTCAATCACCAGTGAAATGAGATTGTCGCCAACAAAACCTCTGGAGAGGTGATAATTCTGTCTCCTAAAAAAACATGATGCATGCAGTAATTCTAGTTAGTACAATTTAACTAAAACAAAATCTTTTCAGTTTGCCATATTAGTTTTTTTGGTGTTATTAGAAGATGACACTTCATTAGAAAGAACAATCAATCGAATCATATATATGAAAGGAGGTGAACTCTTTCCATGAGAGTGACACGTCAGCGCACAAATGATTGATATGTGTCCTACTTATTTGGTTATTAAAAAAAAGAATAAAATAAAAACTCATAAGTCCGTTCACCTTCCGAAACCAAGGTCTACAATTTTTTTTCTACGGTTAGGGATCCAAAACTTCTAACAACCTAACGTGGCCTATAATCCTTTCGACTTTCTAGCAACCACTATCAATTGAAAAAATTCAATAAGATCTCTCTGGATCTCTTTCCTTCTTTCTATAACAAACATTTTTCTATAAACCAAGAATCCTCACAAAAAAATGGCTTCGCTTCTCACCAACATGTTAGAGAGAGTAAACTACCAATGAAAACGATGTACCATACATGAATGTTTATATTCTTATCACTTTTATGTTTGTCTCCGCATAGATCTAAGAATTTCGAGGGAACAATAATCTGAAAATTTAAGATACTATGTGTAATTTGGAATTTCAGCTTATAGGTCATTAAAAAGATTAGTTTTATCTAGAGGATTAAGCAACTTCCAAGGTGTTTCACAAGCTAGCCTTATTATTACTGATATTAGTTTGTGACATTACCTAAAATAAGCTATTCAAGAACATCAACTTGATAATATGCAAAAATATTTATGTTTTTTTTTCAAAAGCATATAATAAAAAAAACGCATATAAAAATTGAATCAAAGAACTTCATAGTTCAAACTCTTAGGTTTTTTCAAATACATCGATACAGCTAGATAATTCATGAAAACTACAAATTGTATTTTTTATTCGATAACTATAAATTTTATTTACATTTTATGAATTATGCATTCGACAATACTTGATAAAAATAATATTATATAAAATAATTTTAAAAGTAGTAAAAAAAAGAAACTCGCACGTAGTGCGGGTACTCACCTAGTTGTAATAAATAATGCACATTAGCTTATAATTCGAAAATAAGTTGTTTGATTCTTTTTTTTTTTTAAATTGACCTTAGACCACTAAAAGATTTAGAACCTGACACATCAACTTATATTGACACATAGATAAAATTTGTTAAATAAATATTTAAATATAAACTTTATATATATATTTAAATATAAATATTTAAATATAAACTTTAAGATGTTTATTATATTTTTTTTACTTATTTATATAACTCAACAATCAACATAGCTAAGACATATGTATACTTAGGTTCAATTTTTTTGAATTGTAAAATCATGATGTGGTTAATAATACATTGTGCTCTGCAGAATGAGTGTACGCAAGAGCATTTCACAGCTGCATGATAGAACTATACATATAATCATTTAACTGAAAAAGTACATACAGTCTCCAGCAATCATAGACGTTAACAATGATTGTGTACATGTTGTCGCACCAGTAGCTGATGATGGGGTAATAATGCAAAGATTGGTTCACTAATCAGTAAGTCGACACGAGCTATGCTTTTTCAGAGGCTTGGTAAACCATTGAAGCAGATTACTTTCCAAAGAGTCTCCGATAAAAAGTGGATCGTTGTAGTAAGTTGATACTTATGTTCTCATCAATCTCTAGAAAAGCAAGCTTAGTGGTATTTTCAAGCTCGATTTTTGGTTTATGTTCCTCTAAACTAGGTCAAGAATATAACAGATAAAGAGGTGTATGTGAAACTGGTCAAGGCCGTACAGTAAATTCTTGGGTTGGTGGCACTCTTGGTCTCTAGCAGAGAACAAAATTGGACGTTATGTATTGATTTTCTTTCATGACTTTCATCACTTTTTTGGTTAAAAATTTAAATGGTTATAACGTTGGCAAGTTGGATCTAATGTAATTTCTTGAAAGCTGCAAAGGTAGAAAAAAAAATTCGTTCATTACAAAAAAGAAAAAGTTTGTTCATTACTAGTAGGCTTGGGCCTGATCCGGATATCCGACTTTTTAAAGGTATTTGGATCCGGATCATGACTAATTACTAGTAATAGTTGAAGGTTTCTTTAAATAATTCTGTAAAATATTTTTCAAAATATACATGATACACTAGTTCAACGATTCTTACTATCTCTTTGAACTTAATTCTATTAAAATTTGGATTTAAATGGCGTTGAATGCACTTAAATTGTTTTCGATTTGAAAATTATTGAATGTTAAACACATGTATTTGGCGTAAATCTTGTAATTTAGAAATTTTTAACTAAATAATATTGTCTCGTTACATCTAAAGATAGGCCTATAAAATTCCAATATTCTTTCTTAGAAATATATATTTTCTATAATACAAAAATGCAAACCTATTAAATTTTAATTTTATAGAATATGTGTCGTAATATACCATGCTAATTGGTATGGCCAAACGGCAGTTTTAGTTGTCGAAATATTTCACAAACACTGGTGCAGTGGTTGGTGTGAGGGAGACATGTAGCCGTACGGAACTTTGAATCAATATATGCGAGAGCTAATACGGTGAAGAGGTTAGCCTTCCCCGTGAAGCTATCTAGTGGTCTACTGTACTATAGTAAAGTATAAAGTAATAACAGAAAATGATATTATGAGTGAACTAATGCACTATAGCCAATTGGATACTGGATATAACATTCTATTCAACAATGGATCTCTCACAAATAAAAGTATAAAATAATATCTGATGATATCAGTTTACATCTCTATCTCTCGATAACTCTTCGACTGTTTCTGAAATCTCCAACGTCTGTGTCTTTACCATCACTATGCCCATGCCGGTTTCCTCCTCCTCTTCCTCCTCTGTTTGATCCCCTGAAACTACCTGAGCCGCGTCCTCGGCTGCTCTTTCTATCAAACTCATCAAAACCGCCTCTTCTGCTTCCCATTCTTCCCCCAAACCCGCCACTATCTTCTCTGTTCCCTCTTGATCTACTGGCTGAGGAACTTGACCCTCTGTAATCTTCATCGTCACTATCAAAACTACTCCTTCTGCTTCCTGTTCTTCCTCCTCTCCCTCTTGATCTATTAGCCGAGGAGCCACTTGATCCCCTGTAGCTATCAGAGGCAAAATTATCATTGAAACCACCCCGTCCCCCGCCTCTCATTCTTCCTCTGCTTCCTCTCGATCTATTACCTGAGAAACTTGACCCTCTGTACTTTTGATCATCCATGTCATCATCAGATTCTGAAGCTGAGTAGGAGCTTCGTTTTCCCTTGAACCCTCTAGCACCGTTGTTTCTTTCTCCACGCCTCAAACTGGACCTTGGACTATCGTCCTCCAGATCAGAATCGAGCCCAAATTCTTCGTCCGACCCAAAAGTAAGTTTTCTCGAAGGTGGACCTCTCTGGGTAGAAGCAACATGGCTTGATTTCCATCTGGGATTGGCAGAAACCTCATCATCTGAACTGAAACTGAGCTCATCATCCCTAGAGAAACCTCCCTTACTGTTTCCATGCTTCTTCCTACTGTTGTGAAGGTTTGAACTTCCTCCTCTGTGTGCATTAAAACCAGCCTTTGATTCCGGAAACTTTTCATCCTCTGAGAACTCGTCAGAAGCAAAAGAAGATCGGGCTCCTTCCACTGGGACCTCTCTCTCTCCAGATTCGTCTATTTCATAGCTATCAATGTCATCCTCATCGTCAAAATCATCAAACCCAACTCCAGGTCTTCTGCTTCTGCCAAACTCAGAACTTTCTCGGGCTCCTGGAGGAAGATTACCAAATTCTTCTTCAGGATCTCTCAAACCCTCCCGGAGAAGGTTTTCATTCTTTTTACTGGAATCCGCATATTCAAACGCAGCAACTTCTGCTCCATCTGATTCATCGTCATCAAAATCAAAGTTCCATGCATTGGAAACATCATCCCGCTTCACAACCCTGTCTGTTTGTGCTTCAGTGAAGCGATGGGTATCTTGTGTTTTGTTCTCTAGGATAGCATCCGCTGGACGCTTGCAATCACAATGAAAACATGCCATGTTTCTCCTATAGTTTAAGAAGTTGCATCTGTCATAACAACATGCAATATGATCAGTTCCATGACATAAAATTTAAATCAGTATCCTTATTCTCAGATTCGACAATTCCCCAAAAGCATAGCAACTTACTCAGGGCATTCCCATTCTCCTGGAAGGAGCTGTCTCTTTGGCCTCTTTGCATCACACTGTAAGCAAATCGTGTTCTTTGCGAAGTTCATGAAATCGCACCTAAGAATAACAATGAAGTGGATTAACATCTCAGGACAAATGTCAAACTTAGAATATAAAACAAAAGATGTGCCTAGCTTCTGCTGAAATTATTGTTCTTTGCAAGATTTATGATTTGTTAGGCCTCAAAGTCCAAAATTTGATAATCAAACTGGAAAACTAATAGGATTTACCTTCAACGGAAACTGATACTTTATGTGAAATGAATTAGACCACATCTACAACTAATAACTAATCGGTCTGGATGGCTAAGATCACATGTAGAAGAAGATTTATAGATCTCACCTAACTACATCAATAACTAATGTGCGTTGTTGCGTGGAAACCAGGACATATTCTATGATCAACGCCTTGGACTCAGAAGACTCTTTCTTAGTATAACAAGCAGATAGGAACGAATTAAAGGCTTTAGAACTCTAAGCTTCTATTTTAAAAAGCTATGCATCTAATTTGACAGTTCGTTAAGGTACGACCCTGATATATGCTTAAAAAGAAAACCATGAGGTCATCAGATGAGCAAGGTGTGACTTACTTTGGGCACAGCCAATCTCCTTTCTTCATCTCAACGTCATCACGGCCAACACGTCGTTTAGGAGGTGGCGGTGGCTGCTTGACTTTAGGGGGCGCTCTCTTGATAACTGGTGGAGTAAGATTAGGATCTATTGGTACAGCGCTTAATTTGACAATCTCATGCAGCAGTTTACGCACCACAGTCTTAACAGACTTTTTCTTCAGGAGATTTTTGTTGGCCACTGTATCATTCAATGGGTCAAAACCATAGGTGAACAAAATGCGCATCAGGTCAATGGTTCGAGCCTCATCCTCTTTGTTTGTCAGCAAAAACGCCTTTTCGCATGAGTTCCTCAAGCTGCAGGAACTGCAGACCTGATATATGAATGAATGTTATCATCTGAAGAACCTATTAATAGTAAAACAACTAGGAAATTAACCAGAAATCTGAAGAGGAAGAAAACAGTAGGCTTAACAAAGAAGACTTCATGAAACATAAAAGCAAAAAAGTCACAACCTGATAATAGTCTTACCCAAATAAAAGAAAATGTGTTAAAAGCGAAACCTCATTTCTGAAGAACAGTAAAGAAATCATCTCCTCTATTTGAATCAACAATTAAAATGTAGAACCAATGACCAGAGTATCAGACCCTAAGAAAGAACCAACGAATTCCAAAGCCCTAAGCTCCCACACAACCAATGAGCTAAAGACTACTAACTGACATTCCTTCCACCTAGTTGTACTATGCATTACTTTTCATCCAAATGTGTCAAACATCTCACATTCTAGTGCATATCAAAATCAAAGTATAAGAGAAGCATAGAAAACAAAAACCAGCTAGATAGAAATGGCATTGATAGCTAGGCATCAAGATGAATGATAGAGTAGGTAGCAAAAATCAAATGTAGAATTACTGAACCACACAAGTTCATACACAATGAATTCTTAAATGTATAACTTAATTAAAATAATGCTTACATCTCCTTCATCGAGATGGACACGCTTCCTCAGTAGTTTTCCAGAGAAGACCACCTTTCTATCAGTTGCAGGGCATCCATGACCCACTAGGATTTGAATGTCATTTCTCGACAATGACCTGAGGAAAAATATTCAACTAAATTGTTCAAATGTCAACAGAAACAAATGCAAACGACTTGATAGCGCACCACGCAGCATAAACACAAGTAATGGAGAACGACTTATCCGACAATAGCACAGTCAGGGAGGCTAAACTTAATCACACTTTGATCAAACTAATATATGAATCATACAAATCATATAGGAGCAATAAAAATGTTAACTTGTTGGATTCCAGAAGCTGAAACAAACCTTAGAATATCGAACCGGTCTTTTCCGAAATTGATACAAGCATTTTGAACAGCTCTAAAATCCTGAAACAAAGCAACTCCAAGATTCTCTTCTTCACCTAATCCAACATTAGACACATCAATCCCCAAACTATTCACCATCTCATCATCATCTCTTTCTCTCCTATGATCAAAGTAATTCTGCTTCAACAATCTCTCCATCAACTCCATCCACTCCGGCCATGGATGCACCAACTCAACCACACCCTTCTCCTTACTCAACTCACCAGAATCAATCTGACTCGACTCGACCACAACACAAGAATCCAATTCCTCATTAGACACTACGGATTCAACTTCTTTAGGATCCGGATCTTGTTGTTGTGGAGCAGAAGATGGTATTTTTGACTGATGGGTTTGTTTAGATTGACGCCAAGCACGAATACGCTCAAGGGTTTCGTCTTTCTCAGAGTGACGTTTCTCAATAGCATCAATTTGATCGAAAACGAAGCTAAGACGAGAAGAGAGAGAAGAAGGTTTGTGGTTAGGTTCAAGGGTTGAATCAGTGTTGCTTTGTGGAGAAGTAGAGAGTGATTTTGTGAGAAATGGTTGGAAAAGTCGGCGGCTTTTAGGGTTTATGTGGAAGTGAGAGATGCGTTTGATGAGAAGAAGAGAGATTGAAGAAGCCATTTTTAGGTTGCAGAAGCAGCCATGAAAAGGGTTTATGTCATTTCTCTTGTTAAACCCAGTAAAAGGCTCGATGTCGCAGAGATCGATTTCGGTTTAAATTCGGTTTAGATTCGGTTTAAATTCGGTTTAGATCGGTTTAGGAATTTTGGTTTATTCAGCTTTGGTAAAGGAGAGGGGTGAAATAAATTAAGCCGGAGATCTGTTCCGTTAAATATATTAAAATTATAAATTTTCGTACATATATTATGTGGTTTTCTATACTAAAATACAAATAATTTTATAATATATTTTATTTTAAAACTATTACCGATAAAAACTAGTTTTCTAATTTTTTGTATTAAATTTGTATTTTACAGATTTTGAATCGGTTGAATTCGCGCAGCATTTCTCCAAGGTAACAAACTTATTGCTAGTGGCATCAAATGGATTGTTGGAAACGGGCAGGCTATCAATATTTGGCATGACAAATGGATTCCATCCACTCCGCCTAGAGCTGCTAGACAAAATGTCAATACTAATAATGTTAACTTGCAGTTCGTTAAGGATTTACTCATTCCCGGCACTAATAGATGGAATCAAGGCCTAATAGATCATATTATTGATCATGGAGATGGTTCGCTAATTAAGCTTATTCGGTCCTTTTTAACAGGATCACCGGATAGTATCTCTTGGATTTATACTAAAGATGGAAATTACATTGTCAAGTCTGGCTACTACTTACTCCGAAAGCAATCCAGAGAAGGTGATTCATCTACAAATACTGACCGTTCTCATTCGCTTTTCAATGATATTTGGAAACTTGATGTGGCCCCAAAAATTAAACATTTTTGGTGACGAAGTGTGCATAATGTTTTACTTGTTGTAGATAATCTAAAGCTAAGGAAAATGAGAGTTGATAATACTTGTCAGATGTGTGGAGAACTCCCTGAAATGGTGAATCACCTTCTCTTCCAGTGCAAGCTCAGAAATAAAATTTGGGATTTAGCACCCATTACCTCTCCTCCAGGCGATTTTCTTAGTAATCATTCATATTCTGAAAACCTGCAAATGATGCTAAGTCTCAACAAGCAACATGGCAATAATGTCAATCTCTTGTCCATTATTGGCTGGAGAATATGGAAGTTGGGAAATGCTTTGATCTTTGAGAACAAAAGGTAGTCTATTTCTGATATAATAAGGAAAGCGCTGGTTGACCTTTCTATATGGCATCAGGAAGCTTGTCCTGAGAGAGATTTAGACAAGATTACTCGCGATATACAACAGTCCTACAAAGTAGCTCCGAAAACTCTTGATGAAACTATACAAAAGTTTAATCGTTATTGTTGTTTTGTAGATGGGTCATGGATCTCCCTGTGGATGTCGGATTCACACACTCAAGTATTTTATTAAGTGGGAAAGATTATTCTTGAGGGACAAAAATGAATGTATAAAAAGCTTGTGAATTGCTACGAAAATTGCTATAATATTTCTCTCTTAAGAGGAAGGTCCCTTTACATGGCCATTGGCCTTTATATTTATACATAGAGAATTGACATTAAAATGAATAATTAAGTACAATTATTCTCTCTTAAATGTGTCCGTTTTGATTCTTTGACTTTAATGCTCAACGTTTGAATTTGAGTTGACTCTGATCTTCATGGGCCTCGCCTTTCTGGCCCAAGCGTCCCTGAACCGACTTGCCCGCATCTTTCACACCGAACTCGTGTCTCAGTGCAGCCACTTCGAACTCTTCGAAGTGGTGACAACCACTTCGACCGTTCCTTCGGCTCATGGGTCCAATGGGCTTTATCCCTTATGGGCCATTATCTTGACTACGTGGCAATCTTTGGTTGGTTTCGGACTTCTGGTGCGGGATCCGACACCAACAATTAGCCCCCCAAGTTCTTCGAAGTGCTATTCCAATTCGGAGGACTTTAAATGCTCAAGTGGCCAAAGATTGCGCTCGAGAATCTTTCTGATTTCCCGCCGAAAATCTCATCACTCCTTTAATTTCGGCACTAGCCATTTTTAACCAAGTGACATCTGTCATCATTATGACCGTATATTGATTAATTACTATTAAAACGGGAAAAAACCTTCCCACTTCCCACACAACTTCCGAGGCGGTTTCATCATTAGCTTGAGGTAACTTCTTTTCACCATTACTCTCTTCTTTTACTTTTGTACTTTAATCGGAACCTCTCTCTTTGTTTCCTCACAAAAACCCCTCTTCGCCGGATCTTGAATTTTTCCTTCTTCCCAATGACTTCCGATTCCGATAGACCCGAGTCTCCGTCTTTCGATGAGAGGCGTTCTAGCAATGATGAGTGCACCCGCTCTGATGATATTGCCGGTCCGTACTATAGGTCCACTTGTACTCTTCAATCCCTCGAGCGGTTGAGAGAGCTTTGCCGGATTCCGCCGGAAATTATGGCGGAAGCACAAATAGCTTCCCCCACAGAATCCCCAGAAAACCATCGCGATGGTTACTTCTGTGTGTACGAGATTTATTTCAAGGGTTGCGGGCTGACCTTTCCTCTTCCCGAAGCCCTAGTTCTATACCTAGCGGCTCTTGAAATCGCTCTTCCTCAATTAACCCCCAATCTCCTCCGTACTATTCTTGGAATTATAACAATCGCGGCAGAGGCCGGTTACGTTGTCGGAGTTACTGAACTAAATGAGCTTCTAAGCGTGAGAAGTTCATCAAAGAAAACGGGGTATTTCTCAGCATATCCTAATGCCAACAGGAACATCATTTCACATCTTCCGAACAAGGATGAAAATTGGCATCATCCTTGGTTTCTGATTAAGAAAACTCCTGCTTCGATTGGAAATCTTGCAGATTTTCTCCCTTCGAAGTGGTCTGCGAAACCCGGTAGTGATTAGGTTGCCCGTATCTTTCCCGGTTGTTTCTTTATCTTTATTGACTAACACCGTTGTTTCATTTCGCAGCTTTCGTCGCTTCCACTCTCCCATCTGAAGAGTTCATCGAATTCTTCAAAATAATTCTTGAAGGGGAAACCCTTTGGAATTCTTTCACTCTCGAACGATTCCTAGAAGCTAACCACAGACTCAGGATGAGTCCACCTGGTCATCTTCACCAAATTCCGCCTCCTCCCTCAACTCAGGGAATGTCATCTCGGGCCCTTGCGGCCAAGCGTAAGTTGCTTTCCAAGCCGATGGCTGAGGCTTGCGTGGAGAAGAAAAAGTTTCTCGCGACTTCTATAGACAAGAAGGACTACAGTAGGACCTTGCTGGTTGATGATGGCAGCACCGAGGGAGCTCGATCTGTCGCTTCCTTCAGATTAACTCCTCGTCGCGATCGTCGCGACTCACGTTCTCCTCGGAGGGATCAATCTCCTCGCCGTGACTCACCTCGTCCTCCCCGAGATGATTTTAGTAACGAACCAATTAAGAACTTGGTTCGCCGGAAGAGAGACAAGTCCTCTCGCAATGATTCTTCCCCGCGGAGGGAAAAGTCAAGGGCCCGGACTGACCGCTCACCTCGATCATCCCCTCCTCCTGAACCAATGGGTCCTTCACGACCGGTTGATATGTCTTCCTCTTCCCAGCCTGATAGTGGAAAGACTGCCCGGAGTGCGTCTCCGAAAAAGGGAGATTCTGAATCTCGAGATGCTTCCTCGAGGTTAAAACCTGCTCTTGTCCCTCAAGTCAAATCGCTTTCAGGTTCGGTGATTCATACAGTCTTCAACGTTTTTTTTCTATTTCCATTAAGATTTCGATTTTTACAACTCTTCTTTCTTCGCAGCTATGGAGAAAGAGGGCAGCGTCTTCCGATGTTTCAAGACCCGATCGGGTTCGATCTTGCCAGACTTCGACAAATGGCGCTCTGCGATTCGTGAACGCTATTTGCTTCACGCGCATCACTCATCTCGGGTTAGTTCCGTTTTTTTTTTTTTTTTTTTTGCTACGCCATTCTGCGAACTGACTCGCCATCCCGGGTTCATGTATAATGCCAGGCTCATAGCGAATTTAACGACATGATCGAACATTACGAAGGGTTGGTCATTGGACGGGAGAAGGAGATTGATATGTGGAAAAAGAAACTCTCTGCCCTTGAGGCTGAACTCAGTTCTTCTGCCGGCTCCAAGCACGATCTGGAGGACAAGGTCGACAGTTTAACATCCGAGCTTGCGCAGATAAAGGGGGAGCTGCAGGGTCAGTACGACCAGAACTTCAAGCTCCAGGAAGAGTTTTCTGGTGTTCAGGGTAGGCTTCAAGAGTCCGAATCAAACGCTGATTCCCTGAACAACCAACTCATCGAGCTTAACGCGAAGTACAAGGCGATTGCCAAATTGCGTGACTCCGAGTTGGCGAGGTCGGCATCAAAAGCCAGAAAAGAGGTTAAGGGACGCGTGATGGAGTTGATCCAAGGGGCCATCCGATTCATGCAGACTGAGAAGGCTAGGTCTGATTTGGAATCAGACATCAAGGAGCACGAGAGCAACCTGATCCTGCTGGATCAAATCCATGACACAGATTTCTCCGAGGAGCAAGAGAGAACCGAACTGTCGGCTAATCTTTCTGAAAAGCGGAGTCGCCTGGCAGTTCTTCCTACTTCGACCTTCAACCCTCAGGACTTCGAGGAATTCTTCACTGAATCGCCTCCTATAAGTGAATCAGGTCTAGACTGGGCAGGTAATGCTTGGCTCCTGATATTTATTACCTTTTATTACCTTGTACCTTTGATTGACTGGAATTATTATTATTCCTAGGCTTAAGTGAGACGGAAGACGTTGTCCCGCCCGTAGTTCCTATGGTACCGGAGGTCACTCCGGAGGTTGGTTGTACCGTGGAGAGTGGATCAGGAGTTTCATCTGACCAAGCGGCTGCCAAGGAGGCGAATGAAGCTTCGACTGTTGAGCCGGATTCCGAGGTGGCTGCTGCTCCGTAGTGGCTGTGTCCACTTTAAATTGGGAATTGTCCCTTTAATTTTAAGACTTAATTTCGAACTTGTCTTTGCCTAAGGAGGCTTTATTATTTGAACAAGATATTTGCCTGAGGAGGCTTTTAAACCTTTCTAGGTTGTGACCCAAGGGGGTTTGGTTAAATTTATATGCGGGTTTGCAAAG